GCCTCAAAAGGAGCCACACAGAGGCCACTGTGAAGAAGAGTGCTGTGCTTGAGACATGGCTATTTTGAAGGTACACTGCATTAGCCATACCTGGCAGATCCCCTTTTCATTGCCTTCTCAGCCTGGGCATGTATATGGGTTTGTAGGCTTGTGCCTCTCTGGGGAGAAGTGGAAGATACTTATTTCAGTATTCTGTTGCGAGCATCATTTATATGCTGAACACACTCCATGTGCTTTCTACAGTATTTTTCAAGCAGGCACTGCCATTCTGGCAGCAGCCAGGAAGCAGCCTCTGGTTACAGAGCACTGGCAGCTCTGCAGGTACTGCAGAAGCTCTGACTTCTTAATACAGGGCACTGCCTTGGTCTCCCGCCACCTCAAAGGCCACACTTAAAAATCAGCAGTAAGTGCTGGGAGTAAACTAGAAAAAAAAATCAGAGACTTTCAAACTGTTCCGTCTTTAGTCCCCAAAGTGTATTTTTTGCCCTTTGGGGTGACGTGGGTGGATAAGGAACTTTACCTCATTTGCTTTCCTGAAACCTGTTAGAAGTACAAGTGAGGCGGCTGCGTGATTTGTGTGTGCATGCAGAAGAGGGCCATCTGAATTGTAAATAGCACCTGCTAAATTATTATTAAGTGAAAGCTGACGTGGGAGGAGTTCTCAGGAACAAAAAACCTCAAGTCTTTAAATAAAAGTCATTCCAGCTGTTTTAACACTGTCCCCTGGCTGCACCCTACCTACTTCAGCTCATGTAGATGCTATGAGGAGTTATGTGAGTCATATCAAGGACAGGGAAGGCCCCATTAAATCAAGGTACTATCAGTTTTGTGAGAGCTTTAAATGACTGCACTAAACTCATTATTAAAGTAAGGAACTGTCAATTTTATTTAATGCATGGTGCCCAACCCTGATTCTGCTCCCAGCCCAGAGATTTGCCGTGTTCGGGGGCGATATAAAACTTAGGCTTACACTCTTCAGGACATGTATTCAGCTGTTGTGGCATCCTGGCTTCATCCTGGCTGGCTAATAGAGGCCTGCCTTGCACCCATGCCAGGGCAAGGATCAGCTCAGTTGGAATTGCCACTTGGCTTAGCCCAGCCAAAATTTTTGGTGATGTAGGTAAGGTTGCTGAGCTGGGCTTTAGGTGACCAGGAATGCTCAGTGGGTGAAGCTGCTCATGCCAAGTATCCTCACTCCCTCTACTCCTGGCAGAGTGCAAAAAGATGAGAAACCAGGTGCCAGCCTTGGGCATTCCATGCAAAATTCAAAAAGGTGACTGCTAGGATCTTCCTGCAGAGAAGGGAAGTGATATGAGAGGCCCAGCCATGCACAGGAGGTTTCTTGTCAGACCTGTGAATGGGGGTTTAAGATAACTTTTCCCAAGTGAAATATCCCATTTTCCATCCCTCTGCAGCTTATGGCCCCTCTGTCTTTCCAAGACCCCAAGTGCAAGAATGCTCCTCGGGGGTATTCCCACTGTCTCTGAGACTGGTGCATTGGGCTTGGCTGGTGTGGATCACCCCATTACTGCTGGCTTGTTTCCTCATGGATGTTGTGGCAAGCTGTTGTCAGCCTGTGTAATCAAAACGCTGAAGGTGTAACTCATATTACAGGCTGTAATGAGGAATTTGATTCCTGTAACAAAACCATCCAACTTTTATTCACATTTATTACTATTCCTGCTATTGCCATGGAGCAAAAATCCTTTTTGAAAGAAACAACATGCCACCAGCACAGTTTTATTGTGTCCTCAGGAAATTTAGGATTGTGTTTTTCTTGCATTAACTGTACAGGAAAATTTGTAATAAAAATTACTTTTCTGCAGAAGACACCTTTTTCCATCACCAAGCTGTCAATCAGCCTGTAATTTCTTGGCATTGGACTATGCTGAAGAACTCACTGAGTTATTTTCCTTACAATGCATGCCCTTAAAACCTCAAACATAAGAAAATAATTTTGGATGTAAGGAAGAAGATTCCATAGTTATTTTTTCAGAGAAAAAGAAAAAACCTTTTCTGTGATGAGATGTAACCTCTGAGGAGGGCAGCACTGGCAGCAGAAGAGTCCAAAGTCCTTGCTTTATCCACACAAGCTCTGCTTCCTTCATCCCCTCCATTTTTGGGGTGAATCAGTGTTTATCCCATGTTTCTGTCCTCTGCTGAGGCTGCCAGCAGTGTTTCAGGGACAGCAAGGGGCTGGTTGTTGATGTGGAAACCAGTCCCTAACAACAACTCGTTTCACCAAAGGGCACAGGCAGCCATCTGACATTGACAATGTTGAGTGACTGCTGACCTTGTTTTTAGCGTCAGCTGATAGCGAGTGGAGCCCTGCCAGTTTGCACCAGTTGAAAGCCTGTCCCTTCATGGTGGCGATTATCCTGATTTTTACAGTGGCGCTGAGAAAGTTGCAGCTGCTGTGCTTCACATGCTTGACTTTAATTTGCTGTGCCTCAGTCTTTTGGTGTTATCTTTAGAAGAGAGTGCGAGAAGAACGTCTCTCCTTGTTCTGCGTCAGTCGTTTTTTTTCCCTTTTCATTTTCTACAAAGAGAGATTGCTCAAGCACACCGTGGAATGAAAGCCATAAAACTATAAATTACACCTCTGCTAGGTCCACAATATGTTGCCAATTACATCTGCCATATTATTTGCGTCCAGGGGGAAAACATACATCAAACCACCCCCTCTTTCCAGGCAGGTCAGTACTGTACTAGAAGGAACACCGTGATTCTTCTTAATCTGTGGAAAAACAAACACAGTTTTGGCTCACTCACACACGATCTTTGTGTCCAGGATGACAAGTTGAGTAGCACTGCTCTGGTTCTCTGAGCTTGCTGCCTTCGTGACAGCATCATTGCCCTGGGGAAAGGAGAGAGGAGAGAAGGTACTTCTCTAGTACCTTCTAGCAAGGAGTCTGAGTATCCAGTTACAGGGACCATGGAAATTGCTGCCCAGGAGGATGGGGGAGCAGGGGTAATGGAGTTAGAAGGAACAACAGCAAACAATCATAAATCCATTTAGAGACAGGGGTCATGTCTGCAGAGGGCAGCATGCTGTGATTTGCAGGGCTTTGTTACTAGACTGGGACCAGTGGGGTTTTATGTACCATGTTCAACCCTAGGTGAGGGTTTCCTCCTGTGTCCTGAAAGGGTTTTCTTCTGCATCTGCTCTGTCCTCAGAAATTAATCATCGTGGAAGGGGTGAAGGCAGGGGTGTTGAAGCAAAGTGGAGACATTGCTTGGCCTGTTACCTCTGAGTAGTTTTGGCTCACCACAGCACCCCTCTCCTGAGCCACTCCTGGCCTTTGGGCTGCTGGGAATTAAGTGGAAAAAGAGTGCTGGGTGAGTGCTGGGTGTGTTTAAATCTATTAACTTGACTACTGAGCTTTGTGAGTACGGAGTGACATTCACATTTTTCTATATGAGTAAGTTTATGCATGCATGTGTGTGAATGTGTTTGTGTACACATGAGCTCCAGAAAATTTCCTGAAGAGGAAGGTGGACTAGTGAAGTGTGAGGAGGCCAAGTCAGATACTTTCACGCCTCCACATGAAGAAGTTGTCCATGTGCATTGCAGAGTTTGTTGTGGTTTTGTTACTGAAGCATTCATTCAGCTTTTAACTTTTTTAAGTTGAAAACAAGTCAAGGTTATGTTTGTGCTTAATAATTCAACAATGGTGCCAGCTCAGCATATTGTCTTTTTTCTTCCCTAGTCATTCTGGTTTATTAAAAAGAAACACTGATGACAGATAGAAGGGTGAAGGAGGCTGTGCCTTTCTGCTCTAACTCCTGCCGGGTGCTGATTCCTTCCCTAGAAGTCCCCATGGATTTGTGTTCTTCACAAAATGTTTGCCCCAGCAGTACTATCCCTACCTGGGCAGGGAAAGCTTGGCAGCAAGTCAGGACTTAGCTGTCCCCTTCTCCGTGCACCACATCTTTTTTCTCTGAATAGGCACATTTTCTGTTTCAGTGGAATATTACTCAGAATCCTTCAGTAAGTCTGTCTCAGTGATGCATTATTTTCACTTTGGTTATGAGGTTGTGGGGTTGTTTTTTGGTGGTCTGGGTTTTTTAAAAAATATTTAGAAGATCATTAACTCTTCTGAAGCCAAATAAGCTTGCATTAAAATAGGTTTTTGTCTTTCCTGTAAAAATAAGGCTATATTAGGAGCTAATTCTGCCACATGCTAATGTGTATGTTGCTTCATAAACAATGCTGTTCATTTCCAGGGGATCTGCTATCTGCTTCCTGGTGATGGTATTGTCACAGCAAATGAGAATAGATGAACACAATTTTATAAATCTGGGAGCACTGAGAGCACACAGTGAAGCTCATGTTTGTGTAACTCCCATCTCCAGTGTCTCTGAGCACAGACTAGCATTGTGCACAATTCCCACTCACAGACTTGGCAAGCAGTCTGAAACATCATCTTCTTCTGTTCTGGCTCCTCAGCTTTATCTATGCACCTCCATTTGCTCACAGTGTACCATCTCCTGGTCCCATCTTCTCTCTGTGCAGGCCAGAAGCTACACAGTAGTTTTATGGGCATACAGTGGAGGGCTTAAGTCAGATCCACTAAACTGCTTAGGATTGGATGAGCCTGAGGATTTGAGATTTAGCTTCTGTAGTCAGAATACTTTGCAGTATTTGACATGAGTTCCTCCAGAGAGCTAGATATATTCCTAGAGACAATGGGAATAGGAGTCTCTTTAGGCAGAGGAGGTAAAAATAACATGTACATTCCTATTATTAAAAATTGAAACGGGGAGAACAAGAGAGCAGAAATCTTGTTGTTAGTATAGTCCCACCTGGGGTAAGGATTTATTTTGGAGCATATTTTACTTGTGTTGAATACGTATTTCTGGAAGAACTTGGTTTTTGTGTGTGTGTGTGTAATGTATCTATAGCCTGTATCCCATTTCCCTTTCATGCCACTGAGCAAATGAAAAAAGCTGGGGAAAGCATCTTGACACAGTGGTTTCATTCTGATGTTGTATTGCAGGTATGGCCTCGCATGTGCAAGTTTTCTCTCCTCATACCCTTCAGTCAAGTGCCTTCTGTAGCGTGAAGAAACTGAAAGTGGAGCCGAGTTCGAACTGGGATATGACTGGGTACGGCACACACAGCAAAGTCTACAACCAGGGCAAGAACGTGCAGTCCTCCCAAGCAGCCGCCGCAGCAGCCGTCAACGCCTCCCTCCAGATCCCCAATCCAAGCATCCCTTACGAGCAGACCATCATCTTTCCAGCAAGCACGGGGCACATCGTGGTTACATCTGCCAACAGCACTTCTGGTGTGGTTGCAGTGTCTGGGCAAACACTGGGCGGGCCACACAACCTGATGCGTCGCAGCACTGTGAGCCTTCTGGACACCTACCAAAAATGTGGACTTAAGCGCAAGAGTGAGGAGATTGAGAACACAAGCAGCGTGCAGATTATCGAGGAGCATCCACCAATGATTCAGAACAATGCCAGTGGGGCCACTGTAGCCACCGCCACCACCTCCACGGCCACTTCCAAAAACAGTGGCTCCAACAGTGAAGGGGATTACCAGCTGGTGCAACATGAGGTGCTCTGTTCCATGACCAACACGTACGAAGTTTTAGAGTTTCTTGGCCGTGGAACCTTCGGACAAGTAGTCAAATGCTGGAAACGTGGCACTAATGAGATTGTGGCTATCAAGATCCTAAAAAACCACCCTTCTTATGCCCGGCAAGGCCAGATTGAAGTGAGCATCCTGGCTCGGTTGAGCACGGAAAGCGCGGATGACTACAACTTTGTCCGTGCTTATGAATGCTTTCAGCACAAGAATCACACATGCTTGGTATTTGAAATGTTAGAGCAGAACCTCTATGATTTCTTAAAACAAAATAAATTCAGTCCATTGCCCCTTAAGTACATTCGACCGATTCTCCAGCAGGTAGCAACTGCCCTAATGAAGCTGAAAAGCCTGGGACTGATTCATGCTGACCTCAAACCAGAAAACATCATGCTGGTAGACCCATCCCGACAGCCATATAGGGTCAAGGTCATAGACTTTGGTTCAGCTAGCCATGTGTCTAAGGCTGTGTGTTCTACTTACCTTCAATCCAGATACTACAGGTAAGAGACTGGGCTCGTGTAACACTACAATACAGGATAAGTAATTTACCTAAGGGAATTTTCTTACATTCATTTAAATGAATGAGAATCATCCCTTAATTCAAAACAGAGATGGCTCTTAGAATGACTTGCTGATGATAAGAAAAAATTATGTCCTAACGCCTCTCTTGGAGTTTACTTTCATTGAAAACCATTATAAGTTCGTAAATAATCATAAATTGTTGCAAAAATAGAGTTTGCCAGTTACAGTTTAGAAAGTCTTTCACTTCTATCAGTTTGTTCTCGCTGGAACTGTTTCCAGAAGAGCTGATGTACACATTTCCATTACAAGCCAAATGATACAGGTTCTTGGTTTCAGAGCTACTTCAACCTAAACAGTCAATCCATACCTCAAAAGTGTTTTCCAGTCAGTTCTCATATATGAAACCAGGGACTTAAGAAGTGTAAGGTTGGCCCACAGGAAAATTGTATGGATGCAGAAGATGATTTGTTGAGGATTGGTTTTCACACAGGCTCTGAGACAGTGGGAGTCTTCTGGCTGGCCTCTTGTCAGCTCTCCTCCAGGCAAGTATTGTCAGTGATTTGGTGTTGGAGTGAGGACCTGTTGTTGTCTGTTGATTCTCACTCACAGTGCTTTGTTACGTGCTAGGCTGGAGCTGTGACCTCAGCACAGGTGTGCCTGAAGTGAAATGTGTGAATCAGGTATATCCCTCTTCAGCCTGTTGAACAGTTTCATCAGAGCAGCCTCTTTTCATAACCCCTGGCAAGGCATCCTCACACTCTGTCTTGACTCCAAGACACAAAGTCTCTCTTGTAGATGTTCTCATAACCTCTCTTTGGTACCAGTCAGCTTGATTCAGCATCGTAGGGACCGAGAAAAGCAGTTCTATTGCTGCTTCAGGGGTGGGGGGAAATAGAGAAGGGGGTGAAGGGAATTTGTCTTTAGATAACAGCTGAATTTAGAAATGTTCAGACCACATTTTTATCATTGTACTTCTGTGAAACAGGGGCAAAGAGAGAAAATCCGATCCTCCTTCATGATGGATTTAATGAAAATCAGTCCTGGCAGCATCTACAGTTCATCAGATGGGTTACAAAAAAAACCAGGGTAGTTGATATGTTTGTAAATAGAGAAGAAATCTTTCTTATACATGGTGAGGACTGGGGTTGAAAAACCAACATGGGTTGGTAACAGACCCTTTTCCTACTTCATTAATTTCACAGCGGCAAAGCCTGCCTGAACTCTAAGCTTGGAGAGGGTTAATTTTCACAGGAACAGGAACTTTGACAGTGTAGCACTGCAGCAGCTGATCTTTATCTGCTTGTCCTTTGCTCTGAAGGAGGCCGGGGAAAAATGCCCAGCCCTAGTTTATACCTTAGAAGACGCTTATTAAATAAGATATTCTACCTGATGACAGTCCCATCCTCCAGGAGAGACATGTTTCTGTGGTAAATATGCAAAAGCTTTTAGAGTTGCAATTACCTGACAAACTAGGAAAAAAGAAGAAAGACAATACAGGCATTTTGTTGTTGAGTTACCTGTGATTCTGTGTTAGCAGCCTAGGTCCCTTGCCGAAAGACAGAAGGGGCAGCCAAAATGAAATATGTGGCAGAAAGCAGAAATGAAAGAGAAAAAATGGTTCATTCTCAGTAACAAACAAGGAATATTTTTGTGGCAGTCACCAGGGAGGAAAAAGCTTTGTAAAGTTTGCTTTTTATATTTTAAATGTTATCCTGCCCAGTCTGAAGTTGGAGCTTGGTAGATTGTAGGTTCTGTTTGTCTAATTTCTCCCCTGTTTTCCATGCTTGAATTGGTGGGAGGAGGGGAAAAGGGGCAGCAGCTCACCAGGTAAGAAAAAAAAAAAAAAAAAAAAAATCTCAAAATCTTATTGGGTTGAATTACATCAGCAGGGGGCTGCTGATTAAGCTAAATTCAAGTCATGAGGAAAATTTATGTTCTTCTTTATTTTCTGATGGGGAAAGTATAGCACAGAGTAAAGACCCCTTTCCACTCTGAAATGAAAGAACTTTCATGCTAGGGGAAACACTGGGCTTTATAAAGATTTCATGTGTCTTCCATTTAATTTACACTTGTTCTGCTTGCTAGAGTGTAAAAGACAAGGGGATGACTTCAAGAAATGGCACATTTAAGTTGTATGTGAAGGAAAAGCTTTCTCAGACTGGTGAAACCTCTCAGGCTCTAAGCAGTCATGTTCAAGGAGTGACAGAAGCCCTGTGCCCCATGCATTTAAGGAAAGATGAAGCAGAGCACAGGGAACTATAAAGTAGAGGCTGGATCTCAGCTGGAGGTTTTTTATTATGGACTTTTTCAAGCAAATTCCTAAGTTGTCTCCATATATTATTAACAGCTTGCTTTTTCTTTTTCCTATCACTGCTTTTGAGAATGTGATGGCCAAATCCTTTGAAGGATTGAAAAGTGTGTGGGATCCTGCTCCTTCTCAGAGCAATGTAAGACCATTCCTCTTCCATTCCTTCCTTCAAGAGGAACGATAGGTCCATTTTCTTCTCCCGAACATAGATGACAGAATGTCTTTAAACAAACTGTGCTTTTTCTTGACCTGAATCTGCATAACCCAGCACAAACCAAGAGAACTCCACGGCTGCTTTCATGGAAAGTCTTTTCCATGGGTGATTTGCCATTGCTGCCATGTAACATGCTCTGAAGATGAATGGGATCCCTTGGGCCAGTTTCTTGTGGGAAGAAAGAATGATGAGCAGACTTGCTCTTGTGCTGCTGACACTGCTCAGGGACCCTCCCTTGCTGGAACTCCCAAACCCAGAACTGTTTCTGTCCCACCAGGGATGTTTCTAAGCAAATGCGCTCTGCAAGGGTGGAAATGGTATTGAGATGACAGAGTGGATGAAAAATATCAAAAATGGGATCGAAATGTCTTTAGTTCAGCAGAATTTAGCTCCCAACCCTCTTAAGAGGATACAGCTTCCTCCAAGCTAGATCTGCTACTACAAGTGGTACTCAGGAGATCTTTCTCCTGTGCTCCTGACTGTAGGGAGCCCGTGGGAGGCAGAACCTGACAGCCTAAGGTGGGCTTTGCAGGAACTGCCCTGCTGCCAAGAATCCCTCTCTGGGAGGGCAGTGCTGTTGTGTCTCCAGTGCCTGCTGCAGGCCTCGAGAGAAGGGAATGAGCCCCAGCAGGCTCACACCATGGGCCCTGCCTGACATGACAAAGGACATCTCAGCCACAGTCAGAGTTATCTTCTAAAAGGGGGGGGTGCTGTGAAGAGGATCATCCTCCTTCTGCCCACCCAGCTTCAGCCTGTGGTGCAAAGTGTTTCTCTCATGGCATCCTTAGCCAGTGTGTGTAGGACCTTACTGGTAGCCACCCAAACATCCCTTGCTTAGGAGAGGGGCTCCAGCCTGTCCCCCTGGTCACCGTAGTCCTTCATCTTGTCGCTTGCCATCAGCTGCATCAACCTGGGCCTGATCACTGACCTGTCAGGGAGGTTTATGGTGATGCAGCCATGGTCTGGAGGTGCCTGGAGGAAAAGGTGAGGAGCTGAAGCTGATGATGGAGGGCTGCTCTGCTCAGCTTAGAGTTCAGGAGCAGGGCTCTGCACTTGGCAGTTTTAGCCAGACATGCTTAAGTTAGAAATGAAGCCCTGTTCACAGAGTAATGGATCAAAAAGCTGTGATAGCCTCTGCCTCACAATGTATCTTCCTGGGATTTTATTGTAGTTCTTTTCCTTTTCATGTGGCAGTTGGAAGGGGAGATCATTGAGGCAGATTCTCTGATCTCCCTTTGCAGAGGGTCAGAGGAATGAATGACCAGAGAGATCCCTTCTACATTGATCAGCTATGTATGAACAGCTTCCCATATCCTGGGAAATACAGGGCTCAGGCTGCAACAGATGGCCCCTTTGTTAGAGCCCCCATTCATGCACCCAGGTGGAAGAGGGGGTACAGCCCTCTGGGAAGCTGGGGTGGCTGGGGTGGTAGAGGGAGAGTTGAGGTTGTCCCTCGTTGGAACAAGAGCACTTCTCTGTCATGGGGTGACAGTGTGGGGGTGCTTGGAGCAGTTGGGCTGCTCACGGGAGCACTACCAGTTTTGTTACCTTGCCCTCTTGGCTTTTCTTTGCTGTTCAGCTGAAACAGCTGCTGTGTTGGCACCTTGGGGATGACAGTGTTCTGCTAATTAATGGTGTAATCACCTTATGAGAATTTAGTCTTTCAAAATTTGCCAAATATTGCACATATAAAATAACGGCTGTCACCCCTTCACTATTAGCAAATAAATTCAGGTTTGGTTCCTTGTTTTCAAAAGGCTTTTGGTATGTGGCTTGTCTGGCTTGGGTTGAGATGTCTGCTTTGTAGGTAAGTGGCCTTTGATTAAATGTTTGGATAACAGAGAATGAAGCTGAGTACCAGTTTGAAGAGGTGTTTATCAGTCTGGTTTCAGACACTGCAAGAAAATATGCATGCATAAAGGCTGCGTGCATGTTCTCAACCACCCCTACAGAGTGTGCAGTGAGGCTGTGTGCAGGCGTGGCTTCTGACTGCCTCTGCATGCCTAGCTGGATGAGAGCAGGTCCTGAGGGATGCAGGGGACGAAACTGGATCCCTCTTGCCACACATGAACATTGTGCCATGACAGGTATTGGTCTTTCAGCCATGCTGACAGGAAGCCAAAGCAAGGTAGATTTCTGAGCAAAGTCACTATCTGTTCCCAATTGTGTGACTCACAAATGTGTCATTCCAGTCAAAACTGCCCTTTAAATAGGCAGTTGTAATGACACAGGGATGGGCTGTGCTTTTTTGTTTGCTCACTGAATTGGCATCTGCCATGTCCTTGTATAACACTTCTATTTCAATGCACTTGTATTTCAAAATCTTCTGCCATTCTGGACTTGCAAAAACATCTCTATCTCAGATTTGACTGCGTTTGCAGCTGTGGGAGCCACATTGTTCTGCCAGTCTGTTTCACTCCTACCTGCAATGTTCACTGCTTTACAGACTCTGCCTC